AGTAGTAGTAGTAGCAGTAGTAGTAGTAGTAGTAGCAGTAGTAGTAGTAGTAATTTCACCCCCAGGAAGTGCGCGCGTAACGGAACATTCCCGCTTTTATTTTTGCTGTAGGTTTTTTGGGAGTCGCACGATCCCACCCAGGTCAACCGTCAGGGCAATGATCGTGGCACTCAGTATCGCTCCGTGATTTTCACTAGTACGGCAGAACAGCTGACATCTGCCCTGGCCTCGCGTGATGCCTACCAGACGGCGCTGGGTAAAGCAGCTCAACCAATCGCCACTGAGATCCGCATGGAGGTAGGATTCACACCGGCTGAAGACTATCATCAACAGTATCTCAGCAAGAACCCGCAGGGGTACTGTGGTCTCCGCGGCACTGGCGTGGTGTGTCCCAAATGGTATCTGCTGTGACCCCCTCCCCCCTCCCATTGGAGGGATGGGTATCTTTTGTGATGATTAACCTACATTATATTTTTGATATCGTACTTTAATTTTTTGTCTTTGAGTTTAGTCTTCGGGCTGTGGTGCGAACAGGAAAATGACGATATTGAGCTTGCACGCGGGCGCCGGTTGATTGACCTCGACTATGCTGATGGTATCGCTTTACTAGCTTCAAGCTTTGGTGATCTACGGTTTGTGGTGTCACGGGTGAACGAGGCCGCGAAATCGGTCGGCTTGTCCATAACCGCTGGGAAGACTGAAGTGTTTTCATGTTGTATCCCTGCTCAAGAGAAGGCACCTCTCGAGATTAGTGGCTGTCAACTTAAAGAAGTAGACAGTTTCAAATACCTCGGCGCGGGGTTGCTGGCGAGTGGACAGAATAAAGATGACATTGTCGCCCGCATTGACGCAGCACGACGAATTTTCTCCAGCCTTCGAAAGTGCCTGTGGACCCGACGGGATATTTTTATCTTCACAAAGGTCCACGTGTACCGTGCATCTGTGCGGTCCGTTCTTCTATACCGATACGAACGTTGGGCCATTCGCGTGGAAGATGAACGGAAGTTGGAAGTTGTTGACCACTACTGCTTGAGGACCATCCTTCGAGTGAGGTACACCGACTTCGTCTCAACTGAGACAGTCCGCACTCGCTGCGACTACATCACAAGGATATCCCAGGCCATCAAAGAAAGATGACTGAGGTGGTTTGGACACATTCTTCGTCGTCAACCTCAGGAGCTCAGTGTTACTGTAGCCATCGATTTGTGCGCCACTTTTATTTGCTGTTTCCGCAAGTGCCTTTCAACGAGTTACTATACGTTCCTTATACAGTAGTCGCCGGCTATTAAGCCCACGGTTAATAAGCCCGCCGCTTATTAAGCCCAATTTGGTCTGGGCCCGAGGTAGACTTAATAGCCGGCGACTACTGCAATAAGGAAGGGTTCGCCATGTGTTTGTTTTGGGCGCCTGAGTGGCACTATCTGATTCCTTTTTGTTGGGTTGTTGTTGTCTCATGCATCGGAGTTCATTTTAAGTCGGTCTGAATGTGAGGGTATTTGTTGAGAGGGCTTAACGTGAGCGGGAGAGAGAACGAGACGGTGAGCTTTGTTTTAACACATATAATATTTGAAAACAGTCATTGGCAGTAGGATTTACCGGTTCCAATAAATTTTGCGACGGCTTTTAACTGCAATCCGTCTTTGCATGATTTAGATAATGAATTGAAGTGCTCAAAAATTTGAATTTTTACAGAAGTTTATACACCACAGCAGGGGTCATAGTTCACTGCAACTAAGGATCAGATGAAAGACTACCTTAAACCAGAGAAAAAGGAGGGATAAAGTTAACACAGTCGTGATTAAATCTAGACACGTGATTACTAGGGCAATTGGGGATTGACCACTTGATTTAGATGCCGGAATAGGTCGAAAAATGTTTTTATCAACGACATAGACAGAGATACACAAATTTGTAGAAAACTGATGTGTCCCGACTCCAGATTTGGGGGGTGGCAAACTTTCATTGGACACTCACAGAAATCGGAGCTGTATTCCTTAAGTGACGCTCGCAGTAGTTGAATAAACGTTAAAACAGATGTAAAGCGTAGCAATCAGCCCTTGATTGAGAGGCATTTTCACTGTGGCAACCATAGTATTCCATTTCATTTAAAGAGTACATCCGTTATAACTAAATGCTAGGTTCTTTTTACAAAGAGAAGGACGTTTGTCTAACAGATTGAAGTATGGTTGACTGATGACGGACAAAAAGCCCGAAATGAAGAGGCTAGTCTTCCCTGCGTTTGACGATAATGCGTTTCCGCATAGAAAACGTTTTGACACAAATTCCGTTAGGGATGACTTATATGGCCGCCTAAATAGGGGTTTAAAACAGCAAATGTCCGTAGTACAGGTGTCAATGTATCAAATGCCAGGTAATATGAGTAAAGGTTTACTGATAAGGTCAGGGTTAAGTGAAGGGTTAGGTCTACGATTAGAGCTAAGGTTAGTTGGAGAAGGGTTAGGGTTAGAGTTTAAACTATGATTAGAGCTACGGTTTAGCTTAACGTTGGGCTGAAGTTAGGCTGAGAACACGGGAATGTTTTCCCTTCCTGAAATTATGCGCTGAGCCATCTTTATTATTTTGGCGGTGGCACCTATCTCCGCGTCATGTTGGGGCGACCATATGCGTTCACGCTTGAGGGGATAGCGGTAAACCAAGTGACTGGCTTTTAAACAGTTTTCGGAGCCCCCTCCCAAAAAGCGTTTCACACGTAGAGAAATAAACATCTTTGTAGCCTAAAGTTCACACAGATAGATAGATAGAGAACTATATTTTGATGATAATATCAAAATTTTCAGAAAAAA